TTTGTAGGGTTTATTAAACACAAACCTGGGTTCAATTGCATGACTGGTTGCCTGCAGAAGAGGTTGCGCAGTAAGCGCTTGCCGCCATAGGCCCAGCCTCAATTGACCCATTCCTACTTCGAGGTTTCCAGCAGCCATGCGCAATCGTACCATGGCCATGCGCAATCGTACCATGGCGCAATCGTACCTCCTTAACGTGCAGGTCCAGAGGGGTCAGACCCGTAATCCATTCCATTGCCGCAGTTGGTGTTCTTCTCATGGCTCCTGTGATGTTCAAACAAGCCAGTCGCTGTATTTGATATAATATTTGGATGGCCGTTGCTTGTAGAACTTTCGGTCCCCATGCAATGGCTTCGTACCTTGAAAATAGCTCTTATTATTTCAGTGTAGATCCAGGTGACCACACGGGGTGAAAGACCCCATGCGCGTCCCACTGTCCACCGACATTGCTCGTAAGCCACATATGCCCTTTTTGCTCTACTCTGTAGCTGAAAGTTTCATGTTAGCTTCCTCTCGAGGATAGTACCAAGGTATTTCACCTCTTCAGAAAAATGTAGTTTGCTTTTGAAGATTTCGGGAGGTTTAAAGCCGGTTGAACTTCTTTTTCTGGTAAGAAAGACCATCTCAGTCTTCTTGGGATTGATCGACAGTGAGTGTTCCTTACACCATGTTTCTCAAATTTGCCGGTCTGCAAAATAACTATGTCGTCTGCATATGCAAGTGTGTAGAATCCATTTTTGTCGAGGTGATTAATCAGGGTATCCAGAACTATGTTCCAGAAAAGGGGTGATAAGACCCCTCTCTGTGGACATCCCCTCATGGCCAGTACTTTCACTTTGATGTCTTCTACACTAATACTTATTGTTCTACTAGAGATCATCTTGAGTATCAATTCTCCTGCTACCAGGGGTACATTCCTGGAGTGTAGTTGCTGCGTAATTGTTGGAAAGGTTGTTTTATCAAACACTTACTCGATATATATGAATATACCCAGGTTGGATTCTTTGTTGTCCAATGATCTCTCGATTCTGCCAACCACATGGTGAAGGGCCGAATCAGTAGACCTTCCCGGAGTATATGCATGCTGATTTTGATGAAGTGGGTTGTGAACTAGTACTTCATCTCTTCATAGTTTTTAAGAAAAACGATTTGAGACTAATTGGCAGGAATGCTTTTGGTAGGGTGTAGTCCGTCCTACCTGGTTTGGGTATGAATACTTCTCTTACTCTCCTCCACTTACCGGGAATATACCTCAGAGCTAGAGAGGCTCTGAATATTCCAACCAGGTGCGGCATAAGAATGTCTAGTCCCTATTGAAGTAGGGCTGGTCTTTACCGTCAGGTCCTGGTGACTTGAAGATGGAAAAGCCACATATAGCCCATCTTATCCATCCAGTTCGTCATTACAGAAAAGACAGAACCTGGAAAGTGAGTTTCCATAAGAATCTCAGCACTCTCCTGGAGGTTGGCGGCTTTGTCGCCATTTTCCCTCGTAAGGATGCTTATACTCTTATGGTGGTCATTTGAAAGTGCCTTCTGTAGCCCAGAAGCTAGTGGGAAGTCTTCGACTGCCTCACAATAAAAACTCCAGGCTTCTCCTTGTTTTTGTCTGCAGACTTTTTTAAACTCTCTGAGGTTGGCTTGAGAGATATTCAATAGCTGAGTTTTCTGAAATTTTTTGGGTTTCTACGAAATGAATTATTGCTGCTATGAAAAACAACGTTTCTGACTGAATACAGTGGTAAATGTATATTCGCTGATTAAATTCCTATGAAATTTTATCTCATTCATATATCTTTTTGAATTACATAACAATATTCAATTGCAGACTTTTTTAAACTCTCTGAGGTTGGCTTGAGAGATATTCAATAGCTGAGTTTTCTGAAATTTTTTGGGTTTCTACGAAATGAATTATTGCTGCTATGGAAAACAACGTTTTTAACTGAATACAGTGGTAAATGTATATTCGCTGATTAAATTCCTATGAAATTTTATCTCATTCATATATCTTTTTGAATTACATAACAATATTCAATGTTCTCCAAGTCTCTTGAGAAAACACATTTTATTTTATATTTAATGAGCATATCACAGTTGATCGTATCTCTTGATACATGAAGTAACAAAGGGTCATTATTGTCATAGTCACGGCTTGTTTGTCATAACTGTGGAAAGTACACCATAAAAATTTACATTTTTCACGGTTCTATCACATTATCTTCTCGTCAAAGCTTCAGTATGAAGTTATTCACAAATTTTTCGAAGAATAAGATTAAAACCGAATGCACAAATTAAAACCGAAATCATATTCATACCACAATTCAATTTTTTCACGTCACTGGAAATGTCGCAGTGAATAGTGCACGGAATCGCAACACCTGTTTTGCTATACAATAGCTTCTTCAAGCGTTTCCGTTATGACACTTTTTGCTGTACTGTAAACATGTGTTAGTATGGAAAGCTTGAGGAGGCTATTGCATAGCGAAACACGTGTTGTGATTTTTTGAATTCTCTGGAGAAAAACTCTCACAATGAACAGTTATTTGAATACGTTATGAGTTTGATCCAATATCGGCCAATTCCATCACATATGTATAGTTCCAAATTCTCGAACTTTCGCTGAACTCTGAAATCTCAAATTTCCTGAATCGCAAAGTTATACCACCACTTTATTCATTATTAATTCACAAATATGACTAATTTATTCTCTTTTTGAAATTGTCCAGAGAAGGATTGTTTAGAAAAATATTATAATTCACATCAGAATAGCTATTGGTAACTAATTTGTTCACCATTTATTCGAGAGACTCCATACATAACTTGCAGCCGGAGGCCTTTCATTGCATGCTATAATCTAATGATTATATTCATTGCATAATGTGAAAGAATCACTCATTTTAGTTCCGTTGATGATCGTAGGTGAAAAAACGATAAGCTGTTTTTACAAATATGGAAAAAAACTGAAGTGTTGAGATGTGAATTTGAAATGGAAGAGGCAGTAAAACATTAATCATTGATTCATCGTGACATGGGAAATTCATTATTTCATTGCGGGTTTAAGGCCTGGAACCATATATTTCCATTGAGCTAAATGAAGAAGTCCCTGACCGAGAACAAAATTTTCATAAAACCTCGTTAATTATCAAATATGCATGAAATAGGGTCCGTAAATAATAGTCTCCAAACATCAACAAATTCAAATACCACGTTGAAATCTTATTGAATTGTGAAAACTAATTTTTTATAATGAGAAGGGAATGAAATTTTCCTGAATGGACGATGGAAGCTTAAATGCAAAGGAAGGTGGGTAAGAAATTTGCATGCAGATGAAATTACAATTGAGTCTTTGAATTCCCTTATAAATTTACTTTCATGCATAGTATTGAAAAAGTTGAATTAATTTGCAATCCATTTCATTTCAACTTTCACAGATACTTTGATAGGAGATGTAACTTGAGGAATTAATATAATTTTAAAGCTACTCACAATTGAGAACCACTCACTGATATCTTATAAAAATCTCACAGATATTATTGAGTGAAAAATATTATGCAATGATGATGGAGTGGCATAAACATCTGGGATATAAATATTTCATTACAGAGGAGTCATTAAAAAAAATTAAATGAACTTCTAAGATTGTATTAATCTTAGCGAAGACAAATTTATTTTTGCCATTGTACTGTGAACACTTTGTACCGTTATGTAGTTTATGTTTCATTTTTCGATATCTACAGAAATTTATACACAAGATATTGATATACTCGAATTTCTTTCGAATAGATCTATGTAATAAATTATAAGAAAAAACGATAAAAATATCTATTTCGAATAGAAATTTGTTGTACAAATATAGGGATGTCAGTTGAATATTAATTTTTTTTGAATGTTACTGGAGTTTTATCCCAACGTCAAACCGTTGTGTTCAACAGTTCGACACGTGTTTTAATCACCAAGTGATCAACTTCAAGAGGAAGTTGAAAAAAAGTGTCTTTTTAATGATACTTTTGGAAAAAATTGTTTCGAAATACGAATCGTAAATCAATTGAAAATATATTTAGAATTCCTTCACCTTGTAATGAAACATGTGGGAATCTTCCAAAGACAGGAAGGAACCAATCAATTTCAAGAGTTAACTCTTCACAAATATGTGTAGATCATGAAAAGAAGTAACTTTCAGACTGAAATTGAAAAAGAACAGCTCTCAGAACAGCTATTTTCACATAAACATTGAATTACACGAAAGAAAAATACTTTCGAACACTGAATTATATATACGAAAAACACTTTTCTATATTCCATTTGAATTCCAAATATCCGAATCAGATATCACTCACAGGATTCCCACACAATATATTTAATGAAAAAAATAAACTTCCACTCACAGGAAACACTGTCATCCTCACTGCAAGATATCCAATGTTCCGCCGTGAGACACTGGCCTTATCGACTCTTCAGTAGCAAATATGAATGATGTAATAAGAAACCCTCAATTCCTTTACGTCAAAAAATCAAAGGCACAAAAGATACAAGAAATTAATGTTGAATGATTTATACGATTGAAAAAAAAAACAATCGTTCGTTGAACCAATTTCAAAAGGTATTCTAGTTTTGCTGTAGTATTGGAGATTTTGGATCGTTTTTAATTTAAATCATATTATGGTTATTTCTATAGGACATTTGTAGGACACCAGAATTTGTTGTTATTTACCATTTTATTCAAAACAAGGAACAGCGCTTTAATTCAACTTGATTATCTTCAAATTTTCACTTTCAGTTTGCCACATAAAATTCGCGTGCAACTTGCAGAAATCGAAACACAGCACAAGCTATTGCCGCAGGCGACGATGTCGACTGCGATAGACAATAGCTATACCTTGACATTCAGCATACACCTACGTTACCCATCTGCGGTCTTCTTCGGATGCATATCGCACGCCAACAACGACGTCCAAAACTAGGTTAGACGCGTATTCTGAGAAAGCGGTCCAAGATATCGCCCCGCGGCTGTCATTGTGTAGTCTCCTGGACCCAAAAGCTTGCTCGGAGGGGAAGGGGACCACTAATATATATCCATACACGACTTCCGAACATCATACAATCAGTTAAGTTCGTTCATCCTACGTTAACATGGCAACTTTCAAGTTAGTCGGTCTGTTTTTGTGCATCGCGACAATAAGTGCCCTGCCAACACAAGAAGAAGCTCGCGGCAACGCTATTCAAACTGAAAATGACCTCCTCGATTCGATCTACACCGACTGCTTGCGTAAAGACTCAATGTCATGTCTCAAGTACAAAGTTTTCAACTTCGTTGATAAAATGCTCGGACACAAGGATACCATTACAGTGACTGAAGGTGTGCAGTTTGTCAAAACTGGTGATAAGGACGGTGCCCCACGTGCCATTTCCAGTGACGACACCATCGAATCTATGATTTTCAACCGAGTTGCCGGATTCCTTGATACGCATACCATCAAAGTTGACCTCAAGGGCAGTGATATCGTTAACGCTGTGACGTCTTCCGCCAGATCTTTCAATGAGTACGCTGAGTCCCTCAATGAAGAGGAAAATATTATTGAAGGAGTTGAGGAAAGCAGGAGGAAGAAGGACAAGAAAAATAAAATGATGGGACCCCTCATGGCTGCCCTTGCACTGAAAGCTGCAGTCCTTATGAAGCTGGCTCTTGCAGCAGTGGCCCTAATTGCCGGTAAAGCTCTCATCATCGGTAAAATCGCTTTAGTTCTTTCTGCAGTTATTGGATTGAAGAAACTCCTTGGATCTGGTGGACAGAAACATGTTACCTACGAAGTTGTACCACATGCTCAGCATTCATCCAGCCATATTGCCACCCAAGAAACTGCATATGCTGGTAGCTCAGGACATGGAGGTGGATACGGCGGTGACGTAGGAGGATATTCTTCAGGATCTTCAGGACATGGTGGTTGGGGAAGATCGCTCGATGCTCACACTTTGGCCTATAGGGGACAGCCACAAGCTCAACAATCATGAACATCAGACATAGGTCTGGTTGATGTACCTGCCAAAATTCATCGATATTGGGCTCGAGTCAATGAATTTGCCCAATGAGATAATTATTTATGTAATTTATTTGAATTTCTACTAGTTTATGCGACTTTGACATACTGACAACCGAATACTACTTTTTCAGTTCAGTTTTACTGAGCATTTATATTTAAGTTACCTTATTGTTATATTTTTTGAATAAAAAATGAAATACGGATATTTTGTTTCAATGTGGATGAATGTCATGATATTACACGAAAAATTTAAATAAAAACTAAATTCGAAGTATCAGAAAATATATCTAACACAAAATTGAGCAACAATTTATTTTTGTCGAAAAAATCGAAGATTTTCTCAAATTGAATGATATAGATGCATCATAAAACTGTTTATCTATATTTTTGTAATTGAATATCGCACATGATAAATACTTTTTTTTTGTAACATTCAACAATCGAAATAAAATTTCGAAATATTCATCTCTCCCAACTACCTACACCGTAGGTTCTGGTATTAGCCAGGAAAGTAGCTATTACCCGGTAGGCATTTATCGTAACCTAGGGTGTAGGCATTTGAAAGAGATGAATATTCCGAGGTTCTTTCACGAAATATTCATTTTTATATACGGATATATTTATCCCCTGGAGTTGGAAAAGTGAATATTTTTAATCAGTGATATCGTTGAAGATTCAAGCTCCGCGATAAGATTTAAATTTTGTTTTCAATTCATTGGAATATAAAATGATCAATAAGAAAATTTTGATGATAATGTAAGCTCAAAAATTGAAATTATCTAGTCAATGAATCGAAAAGCTAGCGAAATTACAATTTAAAAAAGTCAAGATCGATTTCTTCATGACCTAAAATTTGTACGATTTGGACAATTTCAACTTCCTACTGAGTTTCAGAAATTACATCCATATCAATGAAAATCTGATGAAGATAATGATCGGTGTTCAACTTATAATAATTGTAAGTTGTAAAAATACACAGAAAGCAATTTCTGAATGCTAATAAGCAAACATTATTGTTACCACCGAGTCAGAAATGAAAGGAAAAAAATATTTCAGTAATTCAAACGATTTATACTCGTACATTGAAATTAATATTTATTCACAAAATAGAAATGATGGTCTTTCAAAAACAATTTCATAACTTCACAGCGTCTAATGTGAATGATATCTATTGTGAAAATGAAAATTTCCAATTTCAAAAAAAATTGGTTTCAATCAACATTCACCTTTCCAGCTCTACCACTCAAAAACTGTTGATTGAAAAGTGTTTGCTCAAGAGAACTTTTTTGTGGTAGCAAATTCAATTCCCTTCAGAAACTACATATTATCTTTTTCTGAAAAAATATTTCCATACCAGAAGTCGAGTTGTAACCGAAAAAAAAAATTTCCCGTGTCATATATATGTGAAATCGAATTTTTGAATGAGCGAAGCCACTAGTGAATTTTCCCTTTGATGAATTACTATTTTTGTATAGTTTTTTTTTTATTGGTATTATTTTCATTATGTTACGAATACAACAGTAATTACTGTGGTTGAATGTTAGACCGAGACAATAGGCTAATGGTATGAGAAATAAGATACATATGTTCTCGAATGAAAATTAGAAAGATATCTAGAGAAAACTGCATCGATTGTTGTTTCCATGTATTCATTTATACTTCTAATTCATCTTGTAGAAAGTTTACCAAGAGTTGTCCATCTTCGTAAGTGAAATTAACATTCAAATCTCTTGCTAAAATTGGTGGCAACGTATGATAGTTTTCTCCTAATTCTTCAGAGCCTACTCGACTGTAAATGTATGCTCGCACCTCTCTGTCTTGCCCCTACAGTAATATACTAAACATAACTCCCTCTCTCTCTCTCTTTCAATTTTCACAAACTTATACCCTCTCAACTTCCGTTCGCCTCGCCTGATCACACTTCGTAACACTCCCGTCACGCATTCACCAGCTTACTCCCCAAGTCAGGCGAGCGTGAGGAAGTTCTACTTCGAAAATAAATAACGTTGAAGTAAGCTCGCAAGCCTTGTACTAACGAAAAGTACTCAATCCTGTATGAGGAAATTTACAACTTTTACGAATGTACTTTCGAATATATAATGCAGTGCCTCTCAGACGTAACTTGTTGGTTAATGTGAGATTTTGATTCTATTCATTCACTTGACCGTTCGTTTCCAACTGTAGGATGATCGACTGTCACTGTGTATCGTTCGATGAAAGGTGAGATTTTGTTGATTCTTGCTCTGCACAAGGGACGACAGCAAGTTAACGAGGCAATACATTTTAACACATACCGTAACTCATATTCACATCATATTGGTAGAACTCATAAAATGAAAATAAATATATTCCAGTTGATTTTTTCACATTTCCACAATAATGTAATTTCAGAGTTTTCTATCGATCTTTTTGTTGTGGTTTTTTACGTTCCACAATCTGAAAAAATTAAAAACGTAACGGAGAACCTCATTATAGGTGTGGAAAGGATAAGCTTTACAGTTGATCCCAATAAGTTACTGCGTTAATCCGAAGTGTTTTTCATGCATAAAAATGTCCTATTCATAGATAACTTATCTCATCAATTGCCCATCAAAAAAACAAGACATTTTACAGATACTCTTATCGTTTCAGAGGCTAAAATCAGCCTCCGTTTTCAGACTTGAGAAAAATCAATAAACCTTGCAATTGTTTCATTGATTCGTTTAATTTTTGAAATTTTTTTGATATACTCTAATGTTGAAGCAGTTTTGAAATGGGATATATTTCAATGTTATTTTTCGAAAAACATTTTTTTATGGAGGCCAATACATCCTACTGTTTTTTCGGGTATGTAGGCTTCCACAATCTGGAAAATAAACAAAGCTATATCAATAGAGAATCTGTTGAAATATAATACTGGGCAAACTGTAAAGGTTACCTAGAAAAGTTACAGCCTAATGAAGACTACTGAACTGCCCAATCAGTTAGTAACTCAATAATAATAATGATAATAATACAAAATTATATTCACAATGCTGAAAATTCAAACAGTGAAATGAATGAAGAAAAAACAATTCTCATTACCTAAATTGAGTATATGTCGCAACTTCAATAACATTACGAAGGTTTGTGAAAAATATCTCACAATGGAAGCAAATACTATTGAAATTAATATCATTGGAGTTTTTTTGATCTTCCTCTTGAAGATGATCATTTGGTAATCGAAACACGTGTCGAGGTGTTAAAATAACGATTTGGTGTTGGGAAAAAACTCCAGTAATAATCATTACTTCACCAAAGTTTCCAAACAGTGCATCACAATTACTATTGAAATTCATACACATGACATAACTTTTGTTATGGAATTGAATCAGATAATTATATCTGTGAATTATCACAGGATTACTACAGTATTGCTATCGTAAATGAAAGAGGTGTAAGAATAATTCCACTTACATGGAACACTGTCATCCCCACTGGTAGACATTCTATCTTTTGCCGTAAAACACTTTTCCTATCGTCTCTTCATTCAAATCTGGATGAACACTCGATTCATTCATGAAATGACGACTTTACGTCATGAATGTATTTAATCTACTCATATCATCGATGACAGTACGTGATGACATCAATTCGCTCATTTGATTACATTCCAGCCATAGGAATCTTCTTTGAATTGAAAGGGGTTTATTTCTTGGAAAGAAGGATTTTTATGGAAAAAAATTTTTTGGCTTTCTATTTCTCCATCTTCATACATCTTCATGACAGTAGTCCCTGTAAGTGGACTCTATTGTGTAGCAATCCTTTGTTCTTCATCCAAAAATCTTGTTTTCTAATAACTGCTACCCTGCTGTCGAAGGGTAGGAATAGTCATGAATCATTTTTATTATTCGTTTCTACATTTTTCTCAGTTTTTCCAAACATGTTTCAGAAACAACTTCTCACCCAAGAGTTTCATTCCGCAACTGCGTATATTGTCATGAACAAATATTATTCTTCGATAAATAAATAATCTTGTAACTTTGCGGTTTTCATCTGTTGATAATTTTATGTTATGTTGATAAAAATAGCAATAATGAACTGAATTAGGGCCCATTGGGATTGCTTCATGCTGGCCAAATTCGCCTACATGAAAGCAGAATCAAAGAATACTTATAAAGAGTGAGAGAATGCTTCATGCATTGTAACTGGGAATATTCCATCCCACTGTTTCAGAATATGTACATCAAATATCTTTCGCTTGATCTTATGTGGTCAATAATTTCAGTACATATACAAATTACAAGATAACATACAGATCTCTAGTTTATTTGGAAAAAATGGTCTGAAAGAAACCGTGGGTAACAATAGAACAAAAATATTCATACATTTTCATTGGGTGAATTCAAGAAATTTTGGTAATTTGTATTCTTCCTAATTTTCTGGTGTTTATTCAAAAAACTCAACATCAGTCTCCGTCAGTTCATAAAATCATATCGAACTTATATTTTCTACTTTCTTTTCAAATTTCTACGGTAAAATCTAAGTACATAAATATACATATATTTCCAATAATTGGCGGAGTTTCCGGTTATAACCTTCGGCTCGTTTGAAAAAAATTAATGATTGCCTATACAGTTTTCACATTCAGTTTATTTGTATAGTTAACAATGCCTCGAAATGGAATGAACGTTATTCGAAAATACATCAAATGCTTGAAGATTTTCTATGAGCTGGCCACAAATATAACTTCACCTACTACTGATCTACAGATAATTGAAGGAGCGTAATTGAATTTTGAACTAAATGAAATAAACTGTTTTTCATTAATGAGTGGACTGCGGCTTCAGCTCATGATGGAAGACAGAAAAAATATCTCTTTTCCATCAAACCCATATATTCGACGTATATTGTTCATTCAACATTTCAACCGATTAATTATGACCAAAGATTTTCGAAATAAAATAATTATATCCATGCCTTTCATTGAGAAGAACGAAATAATATATTTTGGCTCTGTTGACAATCATAACCCGATTCACATCTTCAACCAAACTTATGGAGTTTTGAAAATCTAAAACGAGGGAGACATTAGCTGTCGATAGGAAAACCAACACCATAGTTATAATATTTGCAATGCAGTGAAATTTCCAGCAATTTGAAGTAACTATTCATGCACCAATTTTCCATCTCTATCACGATAGATATAAAAACGTGATTCATTTTCATTCGTTTCTGGAATAAT